CATAAAAAGGACTAGCTACGTTCGGCCACCGATGCCTTCTCCTTTCGGCTCACATCTGGTGGGAACACCGGGGGAGCAACGAGCCTGTTAGACGCTTTGTTTACGGCACAGAAAGTTGATCTGAACCGCTCAGCACCGTTATATCACGCGCCACGCTCCGGTGACTAGGCCAAGCGATGGCATGTTTGAGATGAATGAAGGCCGTCACTTCGCAGCTGGCCTCGGTTGGAGCGTCTCGGCTCCTTGGTTTTGTCCGAAAGACGGTGAACGCGTTAAACTGGGTACAATTGCTGACATGGTTAGGAGGCCACTTCAATGGCTGTGAGTTTTTGTCACTCCACATCCCTTTAAGCCTCCCCTTTCAAGCATGTTCTCATTTCTTAGGATAATATAATTTGTTTAATTATTTTTCTTCTTGCTTACTAGCCGGCTGGTAGATTTCCGGAACGAAGCCCATCCATTGTTTGCAGCTCAGCTAAGATGCAACTGTTAGATTTAGTTTCGCTTTTTCCTTTAATGTATTGCGGTAAACTAGCTGAGGTGATTTACACCTCTGGCGAACGTGTATAATGATTATGCTGATGAAAACGCAATACGCACAGATGGAATCGGCCTGGTTGGAACGAGTGGGAAAACTGTAACATCCCTCTATCAAATGATGCTAAATCTCGGTTGGGTGCTGGTAACACCGTAAGATTTTAAGCGTGAGTTGCAGTGAAAAAGTGCACCAATTTGCTTACAACCGTAGAAGTTGGGCTAGAACTGTTCGCAAATGACCGATCTTAGTAAAACAAGCTATTCAAAAAGGAGCAAATGAGTACAAATCCAGCGACGTGAGTTTTACATGTTATTGAGTAAATCCGACCAAACGGAAGGTAAGAAATTATGCATCTTTTGGCTACTAGGGCTGTTATGGTCCGTCTCTGACAATCATGCGGAAAAGATGTTCGCCCTTGTCACGAAACTGACTTGTTTAGAAGAAACATAACCAAAACAGCCACCTTGCATGCATCCAGAAGTTCACCCTGACCCGCTAGAGTACCAATATGGGTACCTGAGTTAGGTTTATCATACATGTTGCCACATGCTTAGATGTAGCTGATACTGCACAGCGACGTCTGTCAAACCTGCATTGTTTTTAAAGCTGCTTGCTTTGATTAGACTATTTTCCATGTAGATTATTGGGATTTACCCCGCGCAGTCTTCTTCATTACCTAGAAGCTGGTCAATAAATAATCAGGCCTTAAAAGAGACCTGCAAAGTGTTGGTAGTGCAATAGTTTACCCAAAGAATATAGCATACCAGAATATCTATTGGAAGCTTTGAGAAAACTGGTGACGCAAGCTGTTGACTACACCTCATGCTGTCTAATGTAGGGACACATTTGCATGCTCTCTTACCTCGCCCGGATTTACTCACCCGATTCCAATCAATGAACAATGAATTTATACGGGTTAAGAAGCGTTGTTTTACTAGTCCCGTTGATAGTTGGTGGGGATATCGACGTAACAAAAATGCAAATAATGATAATAAGACAGTTAGTGCTTTACATATGAAAATAAGGACTTATCATTTGCCCCGCCGTAGTCCTGCCATCCGCTTAGATTTACAGCACTCCCAGTTAACATGAAATAATTCCATGGTAAACTCCATGTGTAGGATGAAGACGTAGTGCAAAGTGAAAAAGTGTAAGTGGATGAGTGCTTCGTCCAACCGTATTTTAAATATTGTTAGTGTCGGTGCACTTACGACCGATTTTGGGCGAGCATTCCACAGGTGACAGACACGAATGGAAAAGAAATTTCTGCGGCACTCCAGGCGGCTATACTGTACAGTGCGTCTCAATGAGTAGCCCCTCAGGGTTGTATTGGTGCTAAGTAGCAGTAAAGGGCGGCACACATAATGTGGGTATCGCAGAATCACGTATGCCATAATCAGGTCGCCTCGTAGTCTGCGATATCTTCCACTGAACAATCCTAGTCGACGCAGCCTCTCCTGGTATGAAAGATTGCGCATTCCAAGTACGTTCTTAGATGCCCGACGTTGAGTCTGTTGCAGTGGTCAAGCTCGTGTTTCATCCATGGATGTCAGGACTGAATTGCGTTTTCGACATGGGGGCGAACATACGCATTGGACTTTTGTTGAAATATGGAGCTGTTTATTTGTCCAAACGCCTGTCGCAGCAGCCCGACGTGTTGGTTCCCAATCTTCGAGACCTTTTCGGATTGCCTGGAACAACCCAAGTCATTTTGAACCAGGACACACAAGTCACGTCGGAGAGTTAATCGTTGTAGTATATTCGTTCCGAGCCGGTATGAGTAGCTGCTCTGATGTCAAATGGAAAGCACCTTGCATTTACTGACTTTATAATGCAGTAAATTTTGGGTTGACCATTGATACACCGTACGTAGGTCACTCTGAAGCACATGCTGGTCGGCCTTTGCCCGGATGCTGCACCAAATTTTGGCATCGTCGGCAAACATTAGGAAGTTTGAAGCGATTCCCTGTGTAAGTTCATTAATAAACATCAAAACATCGAAAACAAACGTGGACCTAGAACTGAGCCTTGCGGTTCACCATACTCGACTTGTATGAGGTCCGATAAAGAGCTCGGAACTCTGACCACTAATTGTGGTGGAAGTAGAACGTTCGCAACCTAGCTTAAAAAAGGATCGCTTATCCCGTAATGTTGGAGCTTGGAGAGTAGTATCCGATGACCTAGACGATCGAAAGCCTTGGAAAAATCCAGGTAGATCACATCAACGCCTTCTTCAGCGTCAGCTGCCTCGGTCCAACTAATGCGTGCGATTAATAGCTTCGTTGTGCATGACCGCTGTCGACGGAAACCGTGCTGCTCAGACGTGATGTTACAGTTTTCCAGAGAACACACCAGTGCATCGGCAACTACGGATTCCATGACCTTGGAGAGTATAGGAAGAAGGGGTATTAGGCGATAGTTAGAGGGGTCAGTTCTGCTACCACCTGTGTGAATTGACGTTACTATTCCAAACTTCCACATAACGAGTACTTGATTCTGGTCTAAGCAGCGCTGGAAAAACTAGCTAAATTTCCGGCTAGTTGGCTTGCTGCTGCTTCCATTGCGTCTGGACGAATGGTGTCGACACCCGCCGAGCTATGTTTGAGTAGTCAGCTTTCGCAATACAGCCTCCGCGGTAAAAGTGATGTGGGTTAGTCCTGGCGAGGAGACGACAAAGGTTGGTGGATCGCTTGTGACACACACAGGTGTGCCTAAATCCATCCGAAGCAGTTGCATGGGCGCTATTTAGTGCGCTCTGGTTACTGGATCCAAATTGTGCAGAACATCTGATATCTTCATGCTGCAATGTTTTGCACCCTTATCGCAGCAACCGTGAGCAATATTCCGGCTCCCGAGTCGTACAAGAACATTTGGTATCAAAAATGCGAGCCAGATCAAGACCTCGTTAACGAGTCAGCAATAAAAACAGTATTTTGCTAAGTGAAAGTATCATCAGACATTTTTCCTTCTTTATTGTTTAACCGGGTTGCCTACATATCAGAACAAGTTTGGAGCGATCGTAACGGTGGCTTAACACTAGAAAGCCCGGAGCGATCATTTTGACCGCTCAGCGTTTTTAAATGTGCATATTTAAAAAAAAAATGGACATTTTTCATAGATATTTCGTGACTTATAATATTTTTGGACGTTCTTCATTACTGTGCATTTTCGTTTTCATATCTGTTATAGTCTTCGAGAAAAGAGGTGGTTATGTTCATACTACCTAGAAAGCCCGTTAGCGGTCAAAATGACCGCTTCTCTCTAATCCGGTTCCTCCTTTTACTTTTAGCCACCACTATCATTTCTGACAGTTATATACTATAGAAGTCAAAACGGGAGTGAAAACTAGCCGAATTACGATTTTACTGTGATATTGTGCGTTCAGTCAGATAAATTTCAGTGACATTTTTGTACACAATGGCACTTCTGAGGAAAACAGCCTTAGAGGTTTTACGAGAACTTTCAACCATCGATGACAACGAGTCTGGAGACGAGAACGATTATGATGTTGATGATGACTCCATCTTCCATGAGTCAGCAGAAGATCACAGCATGTCTGATAGTCAAACGTCTGATGATTACACTCCATATGAGGACCCTAGAGAGAGTGTAGCAACCGATTCGGCATCTCCCGGTGAGCTTCACGTATCGAAAGATGGTAGCACGTGGATCGCAGTGGAGTTTGGAACATCTAGTGTTGGTAGGATTCCATCACAGAATGTGTTTAAGGCTAGACCAGGACCAACTCTCTATGCTAAGAAATGTGTGAAATATGGTGAGCTGTCGAGCACTTTTGACATCATAATCACGCCCCAGATGCTGAAACATATTCAAGTATGTACTGAAGCTGAGGCCAAGAGAGTTTTAGGTGTCAGTTGTCAGTGGAGCGTAAGTCTTCCAGAGCTGCGTGCCTTTATTGGTCTACTTTACATCAGAGGCTTCATGGATCTGAAGAACATGCCGTTGAATATGATGTGGTGCGATAGATATGGACTGCCTATTTTCAGGGAGACAACTGGCAAGAACAGCTTCAAAGCAATAATGAGGTTCCTCCGTTTTGACATGGGAACTACCCGATGTGAAAGACTGCTAACTGCTAAGTTTGCTTTGGTATCTGAATTGTGGAATGCATTCATTCGCAACTCTCAACAATGTTATGTGCCTGCGCAGAATCTCACAGTTGATGAGCAATCGTTTCCCTCCAAAACCAGTTGTCGTTTTCTCCAGTACATGTCCAACAAACCAGATAAGTTCGGTATCAAGTTTTGGATGCTGGCAGAAGTAGACAGCAAGTATCTCGTTAATGGATTTCCATATCTCGGGAAGGACGAAATTCGGTCAAGAGGAGAAAGTCTTGCAGAGAGCGTGGTATTGCGCTTGGTGTCACCATTATTTGGGAAGGGGTACAATGTCACATGTGACAACTTCTTTACATCGGCAGCATTAGGAGAAATGCTGGCCAAGAAAAACACAAGTACGGTGGGAACACTTCGAGCTAATAGAAAGGAAGTACCATCGATTTTGAAGCAAAGAAATAAAGAGCTGTTCAGTTCACTTATGATGAGGAATGAAAATAAGCACACATTAACATCCTACCAGTGTAGAAGGAATAAGAGTGTTTTGGTTTTCAGTTCCCTGCATAGTAACTCTTCCGTTCAAGACTCTGGAAAGAAGAAACCCGAGACTGTGTTGTTTTACAACTCCACAAAGTATGGTGTGGATGTACTCGACCAAATGACAAGAGCACTCACTGTGAAGTCATCATCTCGACGATGGCCAGTCCAAGTCTTTTTCAACGTACTGGATTTGGCTGGCATAAATTCCTGGATAATTTATAACAGTGTTTGCGGAACTAAAATATCTCGCCGGTCGTATCTGGTGGGTCTTTCGGAAGAACTGCTTACATGTATACATCACACAAGGTACGTGACAACGGGAATTACGACGAACAACTCAGCGGAGTCGGGAAGTCGTGTGAACATTAAACGTCGGCAGTGTCAGATTGGTTACTGTAAAGGTAACAAATCACAAAACAAGTGCTCTGTTTGTGAAAAAATAGTTTGCGGCTCATGTGGACAGATTGAGCGAGTTATCACTTGCTTCAAGTGCAAATTGGAGTAGGTATACGGAATTGTTTACAATTTTTGAAAAAAACTAAACCTTAATACAATCATTTTTCTGTTACAGGTATGTTCTATACATTAGTTTTTAATAAATGCCGTGAAAAATTCTTAACTGAAAGTTGGGATAAAAAAATATAGCAGTGCGGTCATTTTGACCGGTCCCGGGCGTTCTAGGTATAACGGCGGAGCGGTCTTTCTAGTTTTAAACGC